GAGGAAGTCCCTATTCCTTGCATTCCACACTTATAGCGATGGAATTTCTTATTAGGAAACCCGTTTACCTTCCCCCCTTTTGGACCGCCAGCAGCCTGCGCCCACATTCTCTCAGCATCCTCGTCCGATAGTTGGATTGGCGCTCCGGACTCATTAGGTGGCTGACTGCGTATGAATTGCTCCACTTCAGCTGTGAAGCGACCCTATAAGAAAAATAATATGTGAATTACTATTTCCAAATTTATATATATAAAAGTAAATCAAAATTCTTAATGAAAAGTGAAAACTTACATGTACAATCGAGGCTCGGCCCTCGACCCACATTTCTTGGTCCATCTCTTTCTTCTTTTTCACAATATGAGTCTCCTTGAAGAGCTCATCTTGGTTCATCGGACGCCCCAACTTTTTTTCCTGAAAACTCATAAATTTTAGTTAATAAACAGAATACATATACTAAGAAATTAAAGTAAATTAAGCAATTACGTACCATTCTTCGTTTTATCGTCCCTAGGCTGACCGCACCTCCAGTGTGCAAGGATCCTCCCTTCTCAGATGCCCGGGCTTTCTTTCCTTTTTCGCTCTTCTCTAAGAACTCTGCTGTAAGCCATTGCCTTTGCAAATCATCCCATAAATCCTGAAGCATCCAGCCAGGCTTCTGGTTCAACTGCCTAGCTTTGGAGAAACAATGGAACAACCGCTTTCGAGCTTTGAGATGGAAGTTCGCAGCCACTTCCGCGTTATAGAGGTGTTCCCATACACACTTGCTCTGTATTTCAAAAGTCAAGTATTATATGGAAATATCATATTTAGATAGAAATATCATAAAAGCTATATTCGATATATTATACTTAGCTTTTATTAGTTAATAATTATTCAAAAGTTAAGTGCATTAACTGCTTATAATATAATATTAGCTAAAAGCTAATAAATGATTATACTGCTTAAAAGAATATTTATACCTTAAATTGATTGAAGATTGCCTCCTTGAGAGCGAATGGGAATTCACTCCAAGTCGCATAAGGACCATCATAAAGCTTTCTGGTGGCTTTGGTGATGATCCTTGTAGTAACATTACTAGGGATGAACCTGCAATTTTATTAAAAAAAACACATTAATATCTTAGTAAAACTGTACTAAACAAAAAAAGTTAAAATAACAAATAACTCTTACCCGTCACCCTCAGGGACTATGATGATCCTGCCATATTCATCATAATGCACCTCCTCGTCATTAGCAGCATCATTGTCCGAAGCATGTACATCGGAGGCATGTGTGGAAGGTGTAGGGGGGTCAGAGTTAGTATTTCACAGGCGAAGGCCTGCAATAGATGGAGTCCCAGATGAAGATGGTTGCGAGCCCTGGGACTGCGAGCCCTGTGAGTGCGACACAGCTGTATGGGCCGCAAGTGGATGAGACACAGATAGCTGTGACCCGAGTGGCTGTGACACGGATGGCTGTGATCCATGTGGATGTGACATGGATTGATGCGATCCATGAGCTGCCGATGGATGCGATCTATGTGGATGTGAGACAGGTGGACTGTATGTAGGTCGTACAGTCCTATGGCCCTGTGAAGAAAGACCTGGCGTCTGCACGAAGGTGTAGGACTGGACATGCGCTGGCAGCTCAGAATAGCCCTGGGGTGGAGGCATAGGCACAGGCATAGGCACAGGCATTTGTGAAGAGGCAGGAACGGATTGAGTAGTACCTTCTACCCTCCTCTTTTGTTTCCTAGGCTTTTCTCTACCCCGAGAACCAGTAGGATCACTGTTACCTCGACCCTTGCCTGACATCTGCATGACATAATACAAAGTTAGATTGAAACATATAAAGAAACTAGCTATAACACGAGTTATTAAAGAAACCAACTTTTTAAAGCTGATCGACGTATAGTTCCTCGTCCGAGAATTCTTCTTCCTCACTAGTTTGAGCTTCATCAGTTGATTCTTCTTCCTCGTTTTCTATAATTCTTACTTCATCCATATCAACTTCTTCCAATATGTGTTCAGGATGTTCCAAATCATTTTCTAAAACTTCATCCACTATTTGGTGAACACTGGAGATATCGTTTTGATATGCAACATCTAACA